ATAAAATGTGCTTTTTTTAATCCTCTTGGAATGTTATAATAACCAGCTGTACTGCTCAGTTCTCCTATACTGTCTTTTAAATGCTATTCTTCAAAGCAGAACAAATGTTAAGAATCCATAAACCACCTTTGAAGTGGACAACATTATGCTATTATTAACTGGCATGTATTTTGACACAATAGTGAAGAAGCAAAATTATAGACCAGATATGCTGAGGCATATTGGATTATCTACTTCCTAATACTGCCTTTAAAAAGGTAGCCTAGTTAGCTGCACTTGGTAATAAAATTAATAAACTGGTCCAACATATGAAGATTTTTGCTAGTTTCAAAAGCACTGTAACACTTCAAAGACCATCCGTACTGTGAGTGATATACCTTGTGTTTCCCTTGGAGGTTCATCGCGAGGCACAAGTTACATTTCAAACAGTGGAAAAAATCTTCCTTTGGACCAATTCTAACAAAATATAAGAAAGCCAAAAGATTAGTTATTACAGTGATCATTTGTTCATCATACAATGCCTAAATTTAATCCCACGGTAAAAATATTAAAACCATACAGAAGAACATGGAGCAAACCCGTCTCCCAGCATTCATCTCCACATATAACTATTGTAAACAGAATAGCACCTACCATTAAGAATTTTTTTCCTCCCTGTAATATCACACATATGTGTACATACACACAAAAGGTTTCATCTGGTTTTTAAATAAATTGACTCCTTCCACTAATGCCATTAAAAAGCCTTAGTGGCAAAGTGGACTACATGTTGGGCTGCTAACCACAAGGTCAGCAGTTCAAAACCACTAACCTCTCCTTAGGAGAAAGATGAGGCTTTCTACTCCTGCAAAGAGTCATGTCTCTGAAACTCACAGGGGAAGTTCTACTCTGTCCGACAGGGTTGCTGTGAGTCCAGATAAACTCAAAGACAGTGAGATGTACGCTGTTCTGTAATTTTCATATTCAGCAACATATCCTGAATATCACTGTCTATATAGAACCATTTTGTTCTTAATAGGGTAAACGTTTTCTCCTATGTATACTTAAACAGACTCCTAAGTATACCTGCTTATGATGGAATGTGCAAATACATAAGTTAGAAAACCACAGAAGAAAATATGATTGGCATTTCTCAAGCTAAAAAGAACTAGAGAAAAGTCAAGCCTTGAATGACAATTCTGAAGGATTCTATGGGCAAATCTTTGAATCATGCAGGAAACATCAAAAAAGATGCAAGGAAGGAATAACAATCAGTGTACTAAAAGAATTAATGATATTCTACCATTTTAGGAGGTAGTATGTGATCGAGAAATGATACGAATGGAAGAAATCCAAGCTGTACAGTAGGTGTAGTAAATAATCAAGGCTCCATGAATCAACAAATTTGTTGAAAGGCTTCAACAAATTGATTCAATGCTGGGGGCCTTTGCTCAAATATGTTAAGAAATTTGGAAGGCAACCCCCTGAACAAATGATTGAAGAGAATCATATTCATGCCCATTCCAAAAAAAGACAATCAGATGGAAGCAAAACTTATTGAGGAATATCATAAATATGTCAGTGCTAGTGAAGAGAATTCAAAGAATGATTGTAGTCACCTACCAACAGGGAATGGTAGAAGTTCAAGTTGGATTCAGAAAAGGACATGGGATAAAGAATATTACTGATAATATCAAGTGAATCTTGCAGAATAAACTAAGGCTTACTTATGTTTTATCAAGTATGCAAAGGCTTTTGATTGTGTAGATCATAGCAATCACTGTACCAAAGAATTAGTTGATATTCATTCATTTGCAAAGAATAGGAATTCCTTAAATCTAATGTACATCTATGAAGAGGCAACCAATCAAACAGGACTGTGTGGCCTGGAAGTTGAACACGTGTCCATCAGGGTTGCATTCGCTTTACCTCTTCACCCTGTACGCTTTGTAAACAAGCTGAGAAGCTGGACTTTACGAAGGGTGTACCATCAGAATTGAGAGAACTCATTAACAACCTACAATATGCAAATGACATAACCTTGTCAAAAAAAAAGACAACTGGAAGCGCTTAATGCAGAAGTTAAAAGACTCCAACTTTCAGCATGGATTACACCTGAAGAAATTAAAATCCTCATAACTGGACCAATAAAAACATCATGATAAACAGTGAAGAAACTGAAGGTGTCAAGAATTTCATTTTACTTCGACCAATGCCCCTGGAAGCATCCATCAATAAGTCAAATGATATATTGCATGAAGCAAATCTGCTACAAAAGACCTTTTTCTTAAAAAGCAAAAATGAAAAAGAAAAAAATTAGATCAAATTAATAATGTCAGTGTAAAGAAAGATAAAAATAGATAAAAAGCAAAAATGGCCTCATATGCATGTAAATAAATGCTGGACAATGGAAAAAGGAGACAGAAGAACTGAGGTGTTAGCCAAGAATACTGAATATCCACTGACTGAAAGAAGAAAGGAGCCAGCGTGCCGCTCTCCAGGAAAAAGATGATGTTCTCCAAGTCCGTAGAGTTACAGAAATCCTGGAGGCTGCTAGGAGTTGGAATCAACTGCAGAGTGGGTTTGTTGTTTTTTTCGTGTGCATGGTTTTTTTAAATCATTTTATTGGGGGCTCTTGCAACTCCTGTTACAAACCATACATCAATTGTATCCGACATATTCGTATATATATTCCATTGTTCTTTTCTAGACATTTACTTTCCACTGAGCCCTTGGGATCAGCTCTTTTTTTCCCTCCCCCCCACCCCCAACCCTCGTGGCCCCTTGATAGATTGTAGATTGTTCATTATTTTCAAATCTCACACCAACCGCTGTCTCCCTTCCCCTCTGGTTTCTGTTGTTCTTCCCCCTGGAAGGGGGTGTGTGGTTATGTGCCACTCATTGTGATGAGTTCCCCCTTCCTCCCCACCTGTCCCCCCCTCCCCCTACCCTTTTGGTGTCTCTATTCCCATTCCTGCTCCTGGGTGCCATGTGTTGTGAGCTTTATCTCTTGCCTATAACTATGTACATGCTCCTGTCTAGTCTAGATTGGGAATTGGCACTTAGGTCATGATAGTAGGGGATGAGGAGGCCTCCAGGGATCCGAGGTATAATGTGTGACCCATTAGTGCTCTACTGCACCCTGATTGACTTATCCCCTCCCTGCAACCCCTCTGTGGGGGAATATTCCATGGTCCATAGATGGGCTTTGGGTCTCCACTCCAACCTTCCTCCATTCTCCCCAATGCATTTTTGCTTGTTTGTTTACTGTTTGTTGTGAGTCTTCTAATGCCCATTGCCCGATCTCGATGACACCTCACAACCGCACTGGTCGGTGTGCTTCTTCCATGTGGACTTGTTGCTTCACTGTTGGATGGCTGCTTGTTTAACTTCAAGCCTTGAAGACCCCAGGAAAGGCATGAGCCGAGGGCCTTGGCCCATCTGCAGCCTCAGTGTATTGCCTTATAAATATATGGACATAGGCCAATACCACTATTGTTATGGATTAATGTATTTGGATAAGTGCACACCTCTGTTACTCTCCCTATCTATGCCTTTGCTTCCTAGCGCCTGCCCTTTACCTTTTGCCTCCTCCTGCCCCGCCATCACTTTCCGCCTCCTTCCCCCTTAGTGCTTCCTCTCCACTAGCTCGGTGTTGCTCTAATACTCACAGGACCTTCCCTCTCCTAGATGCTGGTTCCACCTCCCTAGTTGTTCCCCTGCTGTCCATGACACACCGTCCACTCACCACACCCTTCTCCCCACTTCCATCTTCCCCCTCTACCTTCCGGGGCCACTTGCCCCACTGCCTTCTCCCCAGACTTCCCTCCCATGGTCCAACCCATATAATTAGGCAAACCATCCTTTATGGTGAATATTCTTACAGATAAATTTTTGAATCAGTCTCTCAAACTTATTAGGAAGTTCCTCCCACTATCCAAGATGAAATAAAGGGAACAGAACTACCCTACTGCCTAAAGTAACAACACAGTCAATGTACTATAAGGAGTTTCTCTTACATGATCGTTCTTGCCCAGGATTTGTTAATTCTCCCCAAAAGTTTGATGATACCATATCTTGCAAGTGATGGGTCTATTTGCTAGTCACATAAACAGCTTGTAACCCAGCAAAACAGACTGAGTGGTTTTTGGTCCACCCAAAACATAGTTTCCCAAACTTATTTGGGCCACAATCTCCTTTTCCAGGAAAAAAAAATTATTTGGCAACCCCCTGGCAATTAAAATGTTTGTACTATAGCCCATGATCCAGGATAAATTGTAGGTATCTGCTTTTGTAGCCCCCGGGAATATTTCATTGCTTCACTGACTCTGCAAAGGTATTCAACTGTGTGGGCAATAAGAGACTGTGGATAACCATGAGAAGAATGGGAACTCCAGACACGTCATTGTGCTCATGAGGAACTTTCACATGAACCAAGAGGCAGTTGTGTGAACAGAACAAGGGACTACTGCATGGCCTAAAATTAGGAAAGATGTGCATCAGGGTTGTCTCCTCTCACCATAGTTGCAATCTAAATGCTGCACAAATCATGAGAAGAGTACAACCTCAGGATTCGAAGAAGGCTACGTAACAACCTCCAGTACTCAGACAACATAACCTTGCTTGCTCAAAGTGAGGGCTTGAAGCACCTGCTAATGAAGATCAAGGATTGTAGCCTTTGGTATGAATCACAACTCAATGTAAGAAAGAGACCAAAATCCTCACAAATGGGCCAAAAGGTAACATCATGGTAAATGGAGAAAAGGTTGAAGTTGTCAAAGATTTTGTCTTGTTTGGATCCACAATCAATGCTCATGGAAGCAGCAGTCAAGAGAACAAAAGACGTACTACATTAAGTCAGCAGTTCTCAATCTGTACCTTTCACAGGGGTCGTCTAAGACCATCGGAAAACATAACTGTAACAAAATTACAGTTATGAATTAGCAAAAAATAATTTTATGATTGGGGGGGTCACCACAACATGAGGAACTGTATTAATGGGTCACAGCATTAGGAAGGTTGAGAACCACTGCATTAGGTAAATCTGCTGCACAAGACCTCTGTAGAGTGTTGAAGAGCAAGGATGTTACTTTGAGGACTAAAGTTTACCTGACCCAAGCCATGGTATTCCCCACTGCACCATATGCATGTGAAAGTTGGACATTGAATAAAGAAGACTGTATATTAATGGATGCATTTGAATTGTGATGCTAGAGAAGAATATTGAAAATACCATGGGCAGCTAAAAGGACAAACCGATCAGTGCTGGAAGAAGAACAGCCAGAATGCTCCCTTAAAGGCAAGGATGACAAGACTTCGTCTTACATACTTTGCACACATTGCAGGAGAGACTAGTCCCTGCAGAAGGACATCATGCTTGATAAAGTGGAAGGGTGACAAAAAAAAGAGGAAGGCTCTCAAAGAGATGGATTGACACAGTGGCTACATCAATGGGCTCAAGCATAGAATCCAACAATGGTGAGGATGGTGCAAGACGGTGCAGTGTTTCATTCTGTTGTGCACTGGGTCGTTATGGGTTGGAGCTGACTAGATGGCACCACACAAAATCTATTCTCCACTACCGTTCAGTAGACCAAGTTTTTTTATTGATCAATTAAATTTTTAAATATTAGGATCTTTTTACTTTATTCCTTCTTAGAAATCTTGTGGAAAATAAATTAAAAATTTTTTGTAAAGAAATCTTGTGAAAAACAAAGAAAAAGTTTACTAAGTGGGTCCACTGACTATTAATTAGTAATGGATTTCATATATTATAGGATCTTAGTTATCCTATTTTTTCTGTATCTTGAATCGTTTTGCTACTTCAGCAATCTAAGAATTTATCAGCAATCTAGGAATTTATTACTCATCTATTACCTCCAATTATCTTAATACATAGACTTATATGGAAGCTATGACAGAAGATAGAAGTTTGGTAGGAGCAATTAAAAGGATGATATAATTGAAATAAATCATCACTATGACATTACCCTTCAGTTTCCTTTTCGTACTGCTCAAAGTATAGGATCCAGCCCCACCACAAGGCACATCGTGCCCTCGGTGACCCACAGCGCTGCAGGGGACACAGCACCAGAAATACAGTGAGGGAATTGTGTCCAATCTGACACCACACACGCACCCACACACACACACACACCAGGGTGAAACATGAAGGGAGTGTAACAGCGCAACAAGGGTAGCAAAGCAACGAAGTCCCCGAAGAATCTTGCAAACAGACTTTGGACTCAAGGGAGCAGCCCTTGGCACCTTATCAGACAACATTCATAAGGCACAGCAGACAGAACTGGAACTACTTATAGGCTTTTTTTTTTTCTCTTTTCTTTCATTTCTTTCTATATAAGACAGGCAAGATAAACAACACTGAGGAGAAAACAATGGGACCGACTGATGGTTCTGGGGTGACAGGGGAGAGGGGAAGATATCGGAAAGGGAGCGGGGAGCCAACAAACCTAGGGAGAAGGGAACAAGAGATCTAAAATGGATAGCATTGCAGAATGAAATGATTTGTTAAAAATAAACCTGGTCATTATGAAAAAAAAAAATTGATGGTGAGAACGCCTGATGGGGTTTGATCAAGTGCAATGTACCCAAGAGAATTACTGAGAGCCGAATGAGGGTCAAACATGTAGTGAGACAGGAGGAAAGTAAAAGGAAATAGAGAAAAGAACTAGGAACCAAAAGACATTAATAGGAAGCAAAAGACATACATAGAGGTATAAATGTAGGTATGTATATCTGTAAAAATATGAATATATAATGATGGGGATATATTTACACGTTAAGTATCACGGTAGCAGATGGGACATTGGGCCTCTACTCAAGTACTCCCTCAACACAAGAACACGTTGTTCTAATAGCCTGGCATTCTGTGATGCTCACCTTCCCTACGTGATCCCTCAAGTCAAAATGGGTGAATAACAAAATGTGGTGAAGAAAGCTGATGGTGCCCGGCTATTAGAAGATACAGCGTCTAGGGTCTTAAAGGTTTGCAGTTAAACAACTGACCATCTAGGAGGGAAGCAATAAAGCCCACATGGAAGAAGAACACCAGCTTGTGTGATAACGTGATTATCAACAGATCAGGTATCAGACATCTGAAGACCCAAAACAAACAATCAATCGATGTGAACAAGGGGCGAGGAGGAGGGGGAGGCAGTGGAGACCAAAAGCCCATCTGTAGACAACTGGTCACAAGGCAGGGACGAGCCAGCCAGGGTGCAGTATAGCAGCAACAAAAGACACAACATTCCTCTAGTTCTTTAATGACCTAGTTCTACCTCAGAAATCTGGCTAGACCAGAGCATATACACTGGTACAGATAAGAGCTCTCCACACACAGAATCCAGGACAGATAAACCCCTCAGGTACAATAATGGGAGTAAAAGGGGAACCAATTACAATGAGAAATGTATAACCACCCCACCCCATCCCGGGGCGGGGGACACGAACCAAAACCTGGGTGAAGGGAGGCAGCAGACAGTGTAAAATTTGAAAATAATAATAATTTATAATTTATCAAGGGGTCATGAAGATGGCAGGGTGGGGGAGGGAGGGAAAAAAGAAGCTGATACCAAGGGCTCAAGTAGAAAGAAAATGTTTTG